ATAAGGTGAATGGTATTAAATACGGTGTAATTTGTCATTGTGAACATGGTGATAAAACATGGTGAATGTGGGAATAGTGGGTGACTGAATGGGGACATTTCCTGCGAACACTATATAGTTGATGTGGTCGTCTTGTAATGCATCTGCTTGCGGTATCGCTTCCCGTGCCTGAGGAGCGACCGTGTGCGAGCGTGCGTGAGGGCGTACGGTTAACCCGACAATAACCATTGCATTGGAAGTGTCGTTTGTGTCTAGTGGCCAGCGACTAGCCTCCCAAGACGACCAAGCGACTCGGTGCAATGGATTGCACCGCTGAAGCGGAAGTTGCCAAATTGGAAGCACAGTTATCTGATGAATACACTTTGCATTCTGTGGCAAAGTTCAGCGAAGACAATTTGAGTCACTCTGTCCTCGAACACTTGATTGCTTTGTTGTGTGGACACTATTAGAGCCAAGTGTGAAGTTGCTCCAGCGGTAGGGAGCTACTGTGAGTTTGTCGGTTTGTTTTGGTTTTCGTTGGAGTTTTAGAGCGTGCGTATGTTGGGCACCGGCAATACATAATGCTATGCGAACATCGAATTCTGTGCACCGAAATCATGGGAGCAGTGACGGTTCAAAGACAATGGCTGTCGTATGAGTGTCCTGTCCACGAGGGACCTGCTGGGAAGTTGTGAGGTTCTTGTTGCATGTTTCTGCTGTTCTGGTGACTTTTTGTCACTCACCTTGATTTCACTTCGATGCTTAGAGCTTTGAGCAGACAGCATTGATTTTTCAGGGTTACCACATGAATTTCATGTGCCTTTCATTTCATTGATTTTTCAGCGTTACCACATGAATTTCATTACCTTTCAAAGGTAATATCGGCAAATTCGGCGTTTGGCCGGAGTCAAATCTGAAATACCAGAATTCTTCTCCTGGAATCGTTGCTTTGTTTTGGTGGTTTGGCCTTGCTTTTCGCTCTAGGAGTGCAAATTAGAGTTTGCGAAACTGAGCACAAACTTGTGATGCCTGGTATGTGCATCTCTGGAATTTCTGGCTGTCGATGGTGGTTGAATTTGGCATAGCAAGCGTTGCATCATCATGCGACGATGGCTCTTGGCGTCCGTCATGAATTGTTTGATGTACTCTCTTCTGACATCCTTGTTCGCCATTCTGATGGGTATTCTGTGTGAGGGGCGTTCATTACTGGCAAGCATGCTAACATTGAGGATCGACGGATTGTTCAGCGCCGCAGTAGCTCGTTGGCGTGCTCGTTGTGGTGTGCGCACAATTCTTGTGTGGAGCATGGGCGCACATGAGCTCGAGACCTGCCATGACCGTGCGTGACGGTGGCTGTCAGTATGCAGCGCGTCCGAGTTTGTGGGGTCAAGTGTCAACTGCGCTGAGCAAATGCCATTCTTGAGTGCCGATGCAAGCATTGTAGAGGTGCTGGCGAACTCACAGCTAGCTGGAGGGCGTGGAACGGCAAGCACGCACTGCACAAGCGCAGGTTTCAATGGTACCAAACCGTTGGAGCCGACATCGTGACGGTGCAGAAGCCCTAGCCGTCGAGGCAGCCCACTTGACGGCCGGCCCGACCTGTTTTGTCTTGTACGCGACGCCACAGATACGTTGGCATTCAGCTTTGGGATCGAGCAAGTTCGATATCGAACCTACGCTTGTCGCCTGGTCGCTCGTCGCCCCGGGGGAGGGAAGCGAGAAGTTCACACTCTCAATTTTGAGCAATTCTGTGCGGCTGTTTAACAGCGCAGCTGCTTGGGACTCTTTCCAGCAACACTTCACGCACGCAACAGTATGCGTTTCTTCTTGGGCCCTCCACGCTCTGCCCTTCTGATGGTAGGGGCAATTCCCGCTGAAAATGGCGGATACAAAGAGTTTGCACGGGGCAGCAGACTGTCTTGCAGGTCGTATTGTCGCATGAGTGCCTAAGCACGACAAAGGCAAGGGCGTTGAAGCAATGACCGGCAGACCCGAACACGACAGCAAAAATCTTACAAGCATCCTCTGTTTCGCGATGCGACCGAACAAAGAAGGCATCACCTCACAGTGTAGGCCATCGTCTGCTGCTCGCCGTTGAAAGCCATGTTCCACTACCCAATTCCTCGAGACCACAGTTCTAAAATGACATTTGTTTCCGCGCGTGGCACATGCAACCTAACCCCTGTATTGTTGCATCTCCAAGGCGGTGAAACGCCGTTTCGTGCATGGTATTTTCGTCTCCGTTTTCAAAAAGGCCGCTTGACCGATCGTTTGAGCGTGCCCCAGTGTTTGTGAAGTCCCCCGGCGACATGATGAATTCTCAATTCGTTCCTTGTTTGCCCACATGCCCAAAATTTCCGCTGCGTAGGTAGCTATCTGCAGCCTGCACACGACCCGCAATCTTCAGCAGTTTGCCGAAACTGGGCCACTGTGCGTCGGTTTTATTGCAGGGATATGCATTCAGATGAAAGCTGTAGGCCACGAATGACAGTAAAGAAAATTCAGCACGGGACAACAAAGCGTCATTCTTGAATCAGGCTAAAACAAGTCAGCGCTTCGCTGGGCACTTGTCAAATGTATTGAATGCGGTTTACAAGCAGCAGCATGCCCAGCACCTCCATTGCACCAAGTTGTTCACTGAATGGACGGCATTGACCACATGGCTACATTTGCAGGCAAAGCCGTACAGGCAAGTGCTTTAAAGTGCTGAGCATAATGCCACTATTCCCCCTATTAGCCAACGTCCTCCATGCCAACCACCCTACATTGGATCCTGACGCGTCTGATTCCATTTTGTAGAATGTGTTTGACGCATTTACAAATTTAGTCAACGTTATTCACTCGCAAGATTCAACAAGCTGCAGATATTCAGAAATGAAAGCCCGTGTTTGCCGCTGTTTGATGAAAGCGTTGATTGATTTGCGTGGTATCCACAACACAGACGCAATTTAATGCAAAATCACCCATCCCATATGATTCATGCTCTTCTTGAGCTAGTCCACAATCCCACATGCTCTCGAATAGTACGTTCCCTTGAGCACAGAATGCTGTAAGTTTCTCTTCAGCGCATAATGGTTTATGCGGTATGAAGAGGGAAAGAATATGGAATAAAATTGAGCAGAATGACAATATGCACAAAGCCTCAGGCAGAAAAATTGAGTCAACAAGTTCAACATCTTGGATGCGGCACCAAATTTTGAAATTGTACTTTCGCCATGCCGTGCGATGAGCAGCAAAGCACGCCACCCACCAAATGAACATCAACACGAGCACACGAACTCCCCCGCGGCGGAATTCGGATCCGTCTCCGTCCACAAGACCGCCCCATTGTCGCCAACACGGAGGCCAACGGCGTTGCACTTGAAGAACCTCCTGTTGTTGACAACGCATGGGGCTTTCAGGACATTGCCACTCAGACGTTGCCACATTCTCTCTTTTCTGTTCTCTTTTTTGCTAAAACAAGGAAGAAGAAGAAGAAGTTTTCTTACATATGTTGTTGGGGCAAAAATGTGTATGCCGCCATGTTTGCCACACCAGCAACGCATCTAAGCCAGAGAGATCCATTGGAGCCTCTTCCATTGCCAGGCGGGCGTCGGCACCACTCACTCGATGGTCGCCAGGGTGCAGTGGCAGATCTCCTCGGGGGACTTGAGGCAGCACACACTCTGCGTCCCGGTGCACGGCTCGGCGGCTTCTTCTGGGGACACCTCCACTGTGTCGGCGCCCGCGTTGCCCTCGGCGTCCGCGGAGCCCGTGCCCTCGACTATGGTGTTGGAGACGGAGCCGGCCTCATTGCCTCCGGCGCCCGCGCCGATGTCGGCGCCCACTTCTGAGTCCGCCAGGGCTGCTTCTGCGAAGGTCAGGGCGCTGCCTTATTTGCTATACAAATGTCCGACAAAACACCCTTCGTTTCTGGACATGAAGTCATGGAGGTCATGAAAGTCATGAAAGGTCATTTGGGGATTAGGGTTTGCGGGGCTGGGGTGTTTAAATTTTAGGGCTTTAGGCCCCTGGTACCCTTCATGAGGGTCATGGTGTGTTCATGATCATAATATCGGGTATGATAGGTATCGAACAATCCAAAATTTCCACATCGACTGCCATCATGTGCGTGATCATTTGTGTCGCCTTGAGGCAATGCAACCAGGAATGCGCACGGGCGCAAACTGGCTCGATGTGTTAATCGTCAAATGCACGACGATTACCACAAGTTGTGATGACAAATCTACAACAATGGTTAATAATATTCCATTAATATTATCAATTTTCACTGTGGCTATCGAACCCCTTGAAAACCAGGCAGGTTTGAAGAAGCAAGTTGCATTTATCGAGGCACGGCCTGCACAGAATTGGGCAGAAGAATTTACAGAGCGCCCTCATCACATGTTGTACATAATGTGCATTGAGTGCTGCTATTTGTATGCCATATCACACAAGTGGGGCCAGTTTGCCCTCCTTTGTACATGGCCAATCCCAATATCGTTTCGAGTGCTTGTGGCAAAGCGGTGCTGTCATTTACGGCGCAAACACCGCGCATTTACAAGCATTTGCGCAAATTGTTTTTCACGTTTTGGCGCATGAACCGCGTAAAAATGAATAAATTTGGGCCCTATGTGCATGCACCCGGTACACACAGGTTCAGGGAGTCCGGTGGGTGTGGCAGCTACACGCACTGGATTGGGCAGAGGACCACCGTTTCTTCAAGATGTCGTTGACCTTGCCGACAGCCAGGTGGGTGCTGTTTTGCGGGTGCTCCAGGTGCGGGAAACCGAACATTATTCTGCGACTCCATCATCTAACCAGGCTTTCTGCCCCTCCGGGAAAATGAGCAAACATGGTCTCGAACGTGGGCGCTTGGCTGTTCCGCGTTCTCGCGCCTAAAAATGTAAACGCAAAATGGTGCAAAACGGCGGTAGAAGTAAGAATGGTCTGCGGGGGAAGTGACGTGAGCGCGTGAATTGCGGCTATGCCCCCGATCTGGGCGAAATGAAGGACCCATCCCGTGGGGCCTGCTGTGAGGCATGTGCATCATGGGAATAATTAAATTCGTGGACGTCCAATGCTGCAACGCACCTCCGCACTCCTGCCCCACTTCCGCCCAGGCATATGCGGTGATGATCGGCGAGGCAACAGCTCGGGCGAAAGAATTCTGCTCCGCCAGGACAAAGGCCTCGCCGTTGGAGGCGGAGGCGCATCCACTGATGAAGGCCTCGGCCCATGCCTGGCCCAAATGCATCAATGCATGAACAAACCAATGAACCAGAAACCCAACCCACCAGTCAATCAAACAAGCAAGCAAGCAAGCAATTCACTAATCCATCACCGCTGCAGCTGGAAAGGAACGGCCAGAAAACGGCAAATTCTACGCGCATGTCTCGCGAAAGACACGAGCAACTAGTAGAATGCTCAGCATTCCAGGTCCGAGGCGAAGAGGGGCAAGGTGTGCCAAAGAAATTGCCGAAGAGAATCGGTCCCAAATGAACCCAATTGGGATTCAAAGTGTTGCAGTCTCTGTATCTCCACTGTGCAGTTCATCCGTCGACATCACATATTCCACGACCAGGTCCTTCCCCAACCCGTGATACACACTCTTGAGACGCCGAAGAAACGACGAATGCGGTGAAACACAGATTCCAGAATCGTTCACGGAAACGAAGACTGCAAAACCAGCAAGTCCTAATACATGGGATGGGATGAATCAAGGTGATTGATCCCAGCCCATGAATCAAAGATCGCTTTACAGCCGTCCCTTGTGCGCCGGGGGCTGTGGTACTCACCGACGCCACCATGGCGGTGACAGCATTCACGAAGCCACTGGAGAATGCGCCGTCCGCGGCCCTCCTGTCGCCCTGGAATGCGATCTCCACAGCCACGTCGACGATGACGTTTATGAACGCCGTGGCCGTGGCGGTTCCAGAGGCACCGGCGTCCACACAGCCCTCCCCCTGGGCGCGGCAGGCGCTTGTTCAACCCGTATTCATCCATCCGTATTTGTCATTCATTCAGCACAGCTCCCGCATTGCAACATAACGCTCAGTATTTTCGCGGATACAAAAAAATGACGATTTTTAATAGAAGTTTGCGGGGTAACGCAAAAAATTTGACAAATATTGCTCTAAAAATGCAGACCAACAAGCGTGACGGTAAATATTTTTGATGTGAAAAGGGTACTGTTGATCCTATGTACTACGTTATCCTGTAATGTTATCTGTTCGCATCAGTCAGCCAAGGGGAATCGCACGTCAGGCGCATGGGCAGGGTCCCCTCGACAAGACGTCGCTGGTGAAAAATGGTTGATTCACTTGCGTTGAAGTTGTTTGCACGCTATTTTTGTGCATTTATGTTGCGTTCAAATATGCATATTGGTGATCCACAACATCGCAGGTAACGAGAGAGGGAGTAAGAACAATTTGCGGAGTTGTGTATCAGCGATGCAGGCGGTGCAGCTGCACAACAGGAGACAATGCGGTTACATGATGAGAGTTTCTCAGCTGCATTTGCCTTTTAATTCCATATAATTCATTCGCTCCAATTGATATGAAACTTATCTAGGGAGACGCAGTTGGCGACCCCCGTACAGGTGGCAAAATCTCCACGCAAATACAAGCAGACAGGATGGGCAGTCTTGAATCAGAGCCATGCTAGAGACACAGAGCCAAAATTTTCCCTCGTCGTTGGCAACGTACCTAACATGACAGCTGCTATATGAAAATCACTCTGTGCCCCATGCCCGAAGCCTTCTAATTGATCGACATTCCCATCAAGTACGCAATAGTATGGCAAAGGGATCTCAAGTGTAAGGCAAGGACACTTCAGGTACCGTCCGCTCAGCGCTCTTGAGCCAATGACAGTGCTCGTCAAGTGCAAGAATCAAGCTCAGGAGCATCCAATTCCACGTCCAGCACATTGTTCTCACCGTTCCCGAGACGGTGACGGTTCCAAACGTAGACGCATAGACGGCCGCAATGGCGGATACGGATGCCGTCACTTCATCGCCGGCGGCCAGCAGCACGTCTTCGCAGGAGGCATCCTCGGGAATCACTTCCCTCATCCTAATCCATACTCTCCTAACCTCAGCAGCGGACTGCTCCTGGACCTGCGCGACGTTCATTGCTTTTGAAAAATTGATGAGCGAACAAGCAGTCGATGTGAACAAAGAACGAGTAAACGAATGGATTCACATATGCTCGCGAGACTTCGTCTGAACTTATGCAGACACGATTGCTTCGCACTCACTTGTCCATAAACTGATAACTATGAGACTGAAAGAATACTCCTTGGTTGTTTGGGATGCCTACAAATTTTTGTTACCAACTTCCAGGCCCTGCGCGATAGTAATGATCCCTTGATTCAAATGATATGATTCCATATGATGGCGGTTTCCCACATGTCGTGGGTTGCGCACGCCACGTCCATGATTTGCCACACCCTAAATGCCTTGAAATTGTATTAACGCGGTTTGCCATTGATAATGAGACTGGTCGGCGATTCAACATGAAAGCCGACCAGCATTGACGGATGAAAACATTTTCGACCGTCACCGCGTTCGCCACTTCGTGGCTTTGAAACGCAAGGGCCTTTCCATTTCAATTTCGTTGTTAGATGCCGCCACAAGGGACTGAGTTTTGAGGTTTTGCACTCCACTCAAGGATGTGGACAATCGCCGTTCGGTTCTGTCACTCTGGTCGTTTAAGTATCTCAAGAGAGCTACTCGCCTCGCTGGAGGCGAACGCCTCAGCGACGGTGGTGCCCCCCGTGGAAGTGGCAATGCTCGATGAGATAGCCTGTCCGTCGGGATCGTTGGAGACCGCTCCCGCTTTGCTGCCTGCGCTGGCGCCTTGCATGAGGCGGCGGTGGGGCACATCTGCGCACAGTGCAGCGCGGGCGGAAACGAAATAAGAACGTGCGCATCTGTTCTCGGGTGGAAAGGTACCGTCTTGCGGCCCTGCTCACAATAGAGCTCAGCATCTGTGTGAAATAGCCTCCATTTTCCAAGCGTCCCTGCTTCACGAGCGAGATGCGTCGCCAAAATGTTTGGCGTCTGGGGCTGCACGCAGGCCCGTTATGTGCTCGAAAGTGGTGATCCGTTCACGCATACTTCAACACAAATACGTGAATTAAGACAAGGTGCCTGAAGCATACCATGCTCGGCTTGTCCGATGACCAGAAAGACGGCGAGGACCGCGCAAACGACGGCGGAGCGTGCCATGATGGGTCTGCAAGAAGCACACGCCATGGCGTCAGAACCCGCTGCGGTGACAGTAGTACATGTACTACACCGCATGTACATGCAGAATTGGTGGAATATTGTCAGGCTTGGTTTTTATGTTTACGTTTATTTTTTGCATTTACGCTTTCAGGAGCAAAAACGCAAATTTACGGAAGGGGCTGTTTTTCCGACTATTTTTACGTTTTTGCCGCTCCTTGGGACATCGAGGTTACGCGGTAAAAGTCGTGTACAATGATCAGTCCTCCGCTATCTCCAGCACTCGCAACACAGTGTCCACCTCGCTATCGCCAAGGGAGCGACGGCATAGAACAAAAATTCGTTTTCTGCACATTCCAGCGCGTCTGATGGCCACCCCCTGGACTCCCCCAATCTTAATGTACTGTCCTCATGCACACAGGGCTGTATTTACGTTGTATTTACGTGTTTCTACGGGTTCTTGCACGTAAGGATGTAAAAACAATTTTTACACGTGAAAACTATTTTTACACGTAAATGAATAAATAAATAAAACGTAAATACGATCAGTTTATGTGGCGTGAAAACCAAACCTGAATATTGCAACGTGTAACAGCTGATACAAGTATCAACGGAACGGTCAAGCACCGGCATATTCCACGTGTTCGTTGGCAGAGTGATGCCGTGATATCGTGACTATCGCCGTGCGACTGCTTCTGACGTTGTTGGACACGCCGTGGACAGCGGCACGCACGTTCTTGGCATGTGCTTCGGTGCATCAGCCCCACGATGCATCCGTACCGCCATGGGCTCGTTATCTGTCACCGGGCGCCTGCGATTGTGTAAGACGTGAAACCGCCCTGGGGCCCGGGAACAACTTTGGCGCCCACGTGCGTCTGTACTGTGGTGCCGGCAGCAGCGCCGCTTCTGGCGGGGCGCGCCAGATACGGGCGCCTTACAACGGTTGGAGGCGACAGACCAGGGGCGACAGGAGTGCAACCAAAAGGGTAGGGGGATTTTTCAGTGGTATGAACCACAGATGCGTGAAACGACGATCGTCGAACTCCCAGAATGGATCGCACGCCGCGGGCGCGTGGCGCGGTGTCCGCAGGAGCCACGAGCGATCTGTGCAGTGGCACCAGCTCGGCCGTCCAAAGCCGGCCCCCGCCGACCAACCCTTTGGCATGAACGAGTGCCCCCCCCCGGATCACCGCGAACTGCCGCCCCTCGCCAGCTCACAGGGAAATGCTCGCACCCGGCTACTGGCCACTTCACGGTTCTTCAGGGGACTGTTTCTGTCGCGTGCTCCACAACGTGCGCCGCCCGGCTTTTGCCCGCCTCGAACAATGCGCGCATCGACTGACCGAGCCTACCCGCAACAAAGCATCCTCCCAATGACAGGTCGCCACCGCTGGCGCCATCCCCGTCCCCGCGCGCCCGATCGCACAATCCCCATCCCGGTGCCAATCAAGAGATCAGGTGCAAAGGCCCGCCGCCACAGCAGGGCAGGCGAAGCGGCGGAGAACGATTCTCAACGAGGAAAGGGAGGAGCGCAGTCGAGTGATCTTCCACGGCCCCTCCCTTCCCCGCGCAAAACGGCAGGGGCCGGTCAGCCACGAAACTCACCGCTCGATGGGATCTTCAGAGCCCAGCCGCTTGCGGCTCCGCCCTGTCTGGCTGTTCTGTCGCTGGGCTGTCCGAGAGTCCCAAGCCGGGGGGCCGTGGGCGGCAAAGGGGGGGGTTGCGGTTGAGAGCGGAGTGGAATGGGCGCGGAGGGGTGTCTCAAATAGCGCGCGGCTCGGCGGGCTTCCAGGAACGCCGTTGAGTCATCCGGCGCGAACCGGTGCGCGATCCAGGAGGGCCACTGCGAACTTTGAGGATGGATGGGGCGAGGTTGATTACGTCATGCTGGCCGTCGGTGCGGGGGGTAGTGACCGCACCAGATTGCGTTGGCGGAGGCAGGCGGGGTCGAGGGTGGCGACCCCTGACTGGGCCCGTAGCTCGAGCACACGACAACGGTTCACAGCGGAGAAAAGGGGCACCAGGAATTCTGTCCCTTGTATCCAGTCCGTTCATCAATGTCCTTGATGCAATTCCCAGTGCCTCACCACCTCTTCATGCGTCCGGTTGTGAATAATACTTGATCAGTTCTAGCTACAGCAGTGTCCACTCGAAAAAGCATCATGAAGAAGTCTTGCGCCAAATTCGAAATGGAAGGAATTGCGCACATTACACAATGTAAACGAGGCCAAATTCTGGCCATTTTATGTAAAACTTCGTGACAATGGTGTATGCGCACATCCATTTCACTGGTAGAAAACGCCGTGTTTGTGATGCCAGCTGCGATGCCTTTTTGACACAAATTGATGCTATCACAGTGTTTGCGATGGCATAAAAGGGGCTGTGATGGTATGAATTTCTAACAGATGGCAACGCAGTTGGCATCGCAAACAGGCTGTTTTCTACTGATGTTTGACATATTCTGCCATGTGATATGTGTCGCCTGCAACTTTGACATTATACGTCGCAAGTCAGGGAGGTAACCGTCGGACAGACGGCTCGGGTGAGCTGGTATTCAGGTCTCGATGGTTATCGGCAATTCGGTAGTTGTTTCCAGACACCTGACCGCCAGACAAGACAACGCCGCGCCACTGCTGTGTCATTCGTATATACGATATATCCTGCACCGAACAGGCACAGTGCATGTCATCTCTGCTGCATTTGGCGCCTGCCCTCCCTCCAAAACGCCAAAGAGCAATACTTCCTAAGTTTTGAAAGAAAGTCAGAGGCCAAATGAAACAGCCTGAAACCTGCGCAGCGCATTTTTTGCTTAAGCTGTTTAGGCAAACTGTTTAAGTTAAACAGAACACCCACACACCTATCTGCACCACAGCGCACAACTATCCAGGAAAACCCAATTAGCGCCTCATAAATTAACCATTACCATAACATAATATACCGTTCCTCATTGTAAAACGCTTGGCCTTTTTACGCGGAGCACTAACAAAACGTAACGGTGCCAAGAAATTGTGGAGCAGCCCCAGCCGCAACACGAGGTCTCCAGGCTGCTCGTGGCGTCTAGCGGCCCCAGATACACGGGGATACACGTCTCTTTGGTGGAAAACCAGTATTTGGGGCCATGCAAACAGAGCGGACTCGCTATTCCAGCTGCGGCAATGATGCGGAGCCCCCAAAACAGCAGCCTGTTGTAAAATGCGGAGCGACAATCATCGCGCTGAAACTTCAAAATGCGGAAGGGTTGAAGATACTATGCTTTTCGGAGCTGCGATCGCAGGGCCTCATGCGATCGCGCCTCGTGTGGTCACTGTGCATGGGAAAGATGCTTTAATCATCATCGTCGTCATTCTTTTTGCATAAGAGCATCTTTGTCGGTGGGTGCTATTGCACCGGCGGTGCTATCCAGAAACAATTCTGATTGGCTGTCATGCCACCTTACTAAGGCGGCATATGCCGAATAGCGTCAGTGCTATTGCTCCGCTGCGTGCATCCGCAACGTCGGGGTGCTATTCCTGCGCCAAATAGCACCGGGCCGCTGTTTGGGTGCCATTGCTCCCCAACCGTTAATGGTGTTTTTTTGACGTGCGGTGCCATTCGAATGGCCGAATAGCACCGACCGGACAACAGCACCCACCGGTCAAGATGCTCTGACAAGGCAACGAGGTAACCATCAGCTTCCAATTTTGCCCAAGCGAAGTTGTGCTGACGAAGGCAGGCAGGGTCGAGGGGTGGCGATCCCTGAACGGGAATTGTACGCTCGAGTCCACGGCAACGGTTTACAGCCGAGGCAAAAGGACAACAGACGTTCTGTCCTTTATACTCAGTCCGTTCATCAACATCCTTAATGCAATTCCTAGTGCTTCGTCATCTTTTCATGCATTCAGTCATTAATAACACTCAATCAGTTCTAGCCGTAACAGTGTTTGTAATCAGCTCACTGAAATCTAATGCATAATTGTTGATGGTATGGCCACTCAAGGCCATCCTTTGGAGTGCGCTTTGGAAGCTGGTGATTGCAGCGCTCCCTTGGAGTCCGCTGCGGCCATCCTTGGACCAAACTCACAGACGAGCAGCCTTGGGCTTACATATTTGTTCGCCCTTCCCACAACAGAGTCTTGCCGCCGCCGCCGGCAACGACCCCCACTCAGAATTCCTTTTTTCGCAACCACTCATCCACCCTTTTCACTCCCAAGGATTGTCATCAATCACAAATGCCCATATGACAATTCAACCCCATGCCACCTCATCACTAAGGTGCAGCCAACATATGGAATATGCCACAATTGCCCTTTCACTCAGATGAACGAACACATGCAGCCGCAGCAAGGGTAGTCCCAGGGGGTAGTCCACCCTGGAAAGAGCCATCAGGTGTGGGCCCAAGCTTTTGGCTCCCTAACATATTTCTGGCTACTCAGCGCATACATATGGCCATTTCCAAATGCCCCCACTACAAACAGCAAGTACAACAAATTTTGCCAGCCAAAGTGAAGTTGAGGGCAGTCACAATGCTGTAAAGCTTCGGGAAAGACACATCCGAAACTTCCCCACAAGACACCCTTGCATCTTGCAGACAAGACACTATGACCAAGGCATCTCTATGTGAATTGCATGACATTCTTTCATGAAGCTCATGTTGTCCTCAACAAACATGAGTGTGATCAAAAACTACCTCAAGAACCAACTTCAAAACCAGAATTCACTCACAGAAATGGCTAATCCGACTTTTCATAAAACATGCGCCAATCTTCAAGCAAAGGAGTATGCATAGGCTAGAAGCTCAATGCTACACCAGGGAAAGAGACATCTTGTGTGCCCCTCCAAGGAAAGTAACATCTTGGTGGGAGTAACCATTGCAAGTTTCATAGCACCATTTTTCTGCAACCACAGTCTTTTTTTCTTTCAATCTCAAGCAGCGATTCACGTTTTGACATGCACACTAGTCGCAAGCCATCAAGCATAAGTGATCCACCCAGTGAAACGGTGGTCATTATGCGGCGTCGCGAACATAACACAAACCAAACCCAGGAACCCATTAATCCAATGCTCTCATCTAGTATATCCTGAAGGCTCCTCCCAGGCCAACGAGCGAACACCCTCCACCGCCTCGGTCCGCGGCGCCGCGGCATGCGGCCCGCCCGGCCGGCCGCCCGACTGCCCATGCCTCCCCTCCGGGACTGCCCCACCGGCTGCGGTTGCGCCGCCCTCCTGCGCGCCTGCTGCTCCAAACTACAGTCCCTCGTCGCCGCCCCGCGGCGGTCCCCCTGGCCCATTGCCCGCGACGCGAGCAGCGCATCGACATGCGTGGCGGCGCGGGGGATCGCCGCGGGATTGGGGCGTCCTGAGGCGGCAGCGGGGGCGGGGAAGGGCGACGGGGAGGTGATGGTCGTTGGGCTGGGGAACCCGGGGCCCAAGTACGCAGACACCAGGCACAACGTGGGTGCGCGCGGGCGCGGCGATTATTGGATCGGGGGTGATCGTGGGGATCTAACGTGTGTATATACTGGTGGGAGTTGCCGTGATACTGTTGGCGGTGTAGATGATGTTGCTTGTGAATGAACATGGGCACGTCGTGAGGTGTTCCAGGCGGAGGGGTGGAATTTGTTGCAGAGGGAAAGAGAAGCGGGTCGCACGAGGGGCAACCCATCTTGGGCAAGTGTGTGTGAGACTGTTTTCTGTGCTATGGAAAGATCATGCGAGGTCTCCCGTTGTGAAATGGTGAGCACACAACACAGGGGCTGCGAGAGCAAGAGAACATGCACTGAGGGGAGCCACAGGGGCCCGGGGGTGGGGGGTGGGGGGGAGACGTCGAGTTGGATGGCAAGGCGGCCTAGCTGGCGAAGCGATGGGCTGGGTGTGTGTGTGTGTGTGTGTGTGTGTGGAGTGGGGGTTTGGAATGCCCTTTCCTTGGTGAGGGCTGGTTTCGATGCCGACCTGATTTTTTGAGATTGGTGACATGGGTCGACCTGTGCACGCATAGCGGTTTTGGAGGTCTCTGTCCAGCTGCAGGCTCGTTTTGGAGGTCTTAAACATTTGACCGTCGCCGCCTGAGTGCTCTATGCGCCAGCGGCACGAAGGCATGCTTTTTGGGGGGTGTGGGATGCTGTGTACAAGTTGGTGCAATCTGGACTCCATTCAAGTTAGAGTAGGCGACTGCCCCTTAACGACATCTTGCAGTGGCAAAGAAAAGGCTTGCGATCAATGGAAAGGTCTGTGAGAATAGAAATAAGCCAGACCAAGAGCTGAGAGCAGGCTTAGAGCAGAAACGCATTTACTCAATAACCACGTACAAACACGTGTGGGAATCAAGAGCGCTCTTTGACTCGAGCTGCTAACATTGTTCCACAACAAAAACTAGAAGCCTGCCCTCAACATGCAGCAGTGGCACGAATGGTTTGATCACACCTTTCTTGCATGCGAACGAGGCTAAGCAGCAGCTACACAATGAAAGATAAACAGGGACTGTGGGGTGCAAGATAATGCCCAGGTTGATAGCATGAGATTAGGACATCAGCATCGTGCCCTGATGGTGGTGCTCTTGCTCTGTGATCATGTGCAGCTGGTGGGCTACAGCAGCAGAGTTGTGGGAGGCAACTTGTATGTGCCTTTTCAGGAAGGCAGCCCACATTGTCAACCTAGCCACGCAACCATAGCGATCCTGCAGTTCCATCAGCAACTTGGCATCTCTCAGCAGTTGTGTGGGCTGTGTTGCACTGAAGTTGTGCTGGCTGTTTGCCAGGTTGGCTTCATGATTATTGACGAACTGGCACGTCAAGAGGGGATCCCTGTTTCCAAGACAGAGCACAATGCACTTGTGGGCAGGGCGATGATGTGTGGAAGGAAGGTGCTGCTGGCCAAGCCCAAGACGTTCATGAACAACAGCGGCAAGGCAGTCGCTGCACTGTCAAAATATTACAAGGTCTGAGGAACATGTTGATTATGTTGGAATTCTGCTGTGATCAGAAAGCTGCTTAGCAAGGGCCCTTGTGCAGTGAACAATGGCTTTCTGACAATTCTCCGATCACCTACCCTTGTGTTGTGAATATTGGTGGACAACATCTATATCAGGTGAAAGGGTAGTAATTTGCGTGTTGCTCTAAAAGAACCCAACGTGAATTTAAACAAAGTTGTCGAGTCCACAAGACACTACATTTATGGCTGCAAGTAATGGGGGCAACACTGAAGGTATGCATGGTTTGCTTCCAGAGTGTGCAAGGAGAACACAAATATACCCACTCAACTTTGATGCAAGACGCTCGTGTCAACAAGTTCCACAAGCCTTGAATGGGTTGCTTGCTTATGGCAAAATATGCTTGGTGTGCAGCCAATGGGGCTAAACATGACTAGCATTGACTGGTTATGAGAAGGCATGATCCTGTCGCCAATGCACTGTGGGCAATGACATCCTCTTCCAGAATGGGGTCACAGAATGGGTACCGATCCTGCGCAAAACTGCTGTGAGGCTTTGTTAATGACATAGCTTGTGACGCAGAAATCTCTAAGTGCGGAAGGAAAGTTATGGCACCCAAAAGTAGGACTGAATGCATCATTGTTTTGACAGCATGAGGACCACTGTTGCATGCTTTTCTGATGCACTTGGCGGCTTCTGCTCATCTGTACAACATGGAAAAGAATCTCTGAAACAAAATCAGATGTGTAGCAGAAAAGCACACTGCTTGCCATACCTCCTTCGTTGTTGCGGCGGTCTTTGGCACCATGAGGATCCACGATGCTGCTTCAGCCATGCTATTTTTTGTCCATGAACCACAGATTTCCAGCGATAGGATTCTTGTCATCTTTGATGATTTGGACCTTCCAACTGCCACGGTGAGGCTGAGGGCCTCAGGAGGAACAGGAGGCCACAATGGGATGAAGAGCATCGTGGCACAAATTGGCACCAAGGAGTTTCCCAGACTGAAGATAGGTAACAGGAATGGGGTTCTTTTGTCTTAAACTATTTAACAGGCATCAAGCGATAGAAGTTTGGGAAAGTGTATCACTTCTCTCCTTTCTAGCGGTTCCTCAGCATCATTTTAGCACTTTCTGCTGATGCGATGTGTGTTGGGCACTTCCCTGCATGGCAGTTTTTGTCTTCTGAGGTGTACTTGTTCTGCCCAAGCAGCACCTTTTCCTTTTTTGATTCAAGAAGGTGAAATCAATTAAAGAAGCCTGACTGCCACGTGACAATGAGGAGCTCAAGAGGCTTGAGACAATTCAAACTACCATTTGAATCTTTTTCAAACTGCTATATACTAGAAACTGTTGCACCCCAATCTTCTGCTTGTAGGTTTTGAATAGGTCCACAAAACGCCAACCCTCCATTGCACGTGCAAATTGGGGTTATTGCTTTGTGCCAGAACCACATGGAATTTCGACAGTGTGCAGAAGTCGCCTACCGGTTGCTTGAGTGCACCAATGGCACATTGACTGACAAGGCGGTGGTGAGGAGTATGCAGTCGCGCTTTGGAACCTCTGTCTTCGCACTGCTGAATAGAGGCCATAGCCATCCACTTTAAGAAGCCGTATGTAGCTCATTTGCACTACACCTGAATGGTGAGGACCTTGAGCTTCACCCTGGATGCACACGTTTCAGTTCAGATCCATAATCGGTCAAGCCTTTTGGCACCCCAGTACGCCTGAGTTTAGCTGATTTACCATTCTTAGCGCAGTTTCGACCCATATGTAGTAGTTTCACTGTCTTTCTGGGGCACTTCGGTTTCAGCAGGAAGTGCTTCATTATGTGGTGAAAGCGTGGCGTGTGGTGACATCAGGTATTGGGAGGCCCTCTGGGAGGAAAGAAGTAGTGAATCACGTTTTGGAGGTGCGTGCCTGCCATCGAACCCTGCATTCCACAGCGCCTGGCTGCAGATCTGCATACCGTAGTACAATCAACCCTTCTGCGTCAAACAATTTTACTCTTACCCTTTTTGCTCTGTATTTTTTCAGAACGTTGCTTATTCTATTGTTTTCTCCGCAGAAAAAGGGCTAGCATTACGATACTATGCGGAAGGGTTGAATTCGCTACAGCCAAGAAAATTTGTCGTGGATGAGCTGATTGCGCAAGTTGTGCAGCTCCTGAGAAACGGAATAAAAGCTACAAGTTGCATTGTGTTTTTGCTGTGAAGCGTGCCCAAAACAAGAACTGTGGCATCCCTTGTATCGCATGGGCATGTTCAGCCTATTACCCTGTATCGGCCCCGGTGTTCTTGTGCTACAGAGGCAGCATGCGGCCATGCATTGCATGCACACATGTCACTGGCGCTGATGCACACATTAGCTTGTCCCATTGTGGCGAGGCCACGTATACAGAAGGGGGTTTGGATGGCACTCGGCAAATTGCATCAACTTTTCCCGCGTCATGGCCTGAGCCTCAGATTCTTTGGCGTCCCCAAACTGACTTCAACCCGTTGCCAACCTCCCGAAATCGCCTGCCATTGCATCGTGCCATGTGGTGGCGTCTCGCAGCCCGCCAAAGTTGCGACAATTTCACAAGGGCGCAGTAGCGTTGCGTGTGTCACGACGCACACGCCACTGCTGCATTATTTCGCCAATCCATTGCAGAGATACGAAATGCATAAATTACAGAATATATGAAATTGAAAAATATTTGTGACGAATTTTTTCTTTCAAATAAACGACAATTAATCTTGGACAGAGGCAGTACGAAAGTTCAGAAATGTGTATACTCGTTGCAGGCTACAATGTGCATACACATTTACGTGATTTGTTCTGCTGAGCATGTTGGCACTGTCCTTCACTGCGTGCAACTCACAACGCCGTGTGCGGGTATCCCTGGCCCTTGTTTAGCCCTTTGGAAACGACGAGAAGGCGGAGATATCCATCGCCATCAAGGAGGCCGCTGACGTCGTGAGGGCTGTGCTGTCAGTCGGCGTCATGAAGGCTGTGTCGGGCGTGCGGTCGCGGTGAACGAGTGGAGCCTGCTGAAGGCAGATTCCGGATACAGCGAAGTGGCATCCAAGCACTTTGCTTGCATTTTCCAGACGGACGAGACGCTGCGAGGCTCTTGAATGATGGTCGCAAACAAGATGGGATTTCGGCGCGGAAAAGATGCGCACACTGTTGCCCAATATAGCCCCAGGATTACGTGCAGGCACCCCCAGGAAAGTGGGTGAAGAACGTGTGACCAGCGTCAGCGGAGGGAGTGGAATAGTTTGGGATGCGTGTAGAAATGGTGACGCGGTGGGCAAATTGTCTGACTCGGTCGAGTTTCTGGCGGCGCAATTCTCTCTTTTGTAGTCGTGTAGGAAAGGTAGGTAACAGCCCCTGGCGGGTATATTCTTTAGCTGGAGCATTGTTGTTGTTCTGGGCAGGGGTGATAATCATTCTTTGTAATGTTGAGTTCTTTTTCGAGCGACCATGCGTGGGATTCGCGTTCAATGACCCTTTGGCCCACCATCAATCCGGGAAGGAGACGAACGAGTAGCGAAGAGCATGGGAGGAATTTCCAGGGCGTCGGTGATTGTACTGAGTCCCCGCTGTTGGCACGGTCTCGCGTACTCACGCTGAACTCTTAGGCTGCTGGGAGCACCGCCAGCACACAAGGTGACCCGGTCAGGCGCCATTCCGACCCAGTACAGCACAGCACCTCACCTCTGGCACCCCTTCAGGCCGGGGTTTGTACATCTTCAGTTGCCGAAGAAATGCGCACCGAGCAATGCCCGTCACGCTTCGCCGGCAACAGTCCACTCCCACCTCTGCACACTCCCTGTACCTTGGGGCGGGGGCACTTTCGAGGCCAACGCCTCCAGGGGCGCCATGAAGGTACAGCCACAGGCCTGGTGTACAATGCGTTCACACCAACGTCGGCAAACGGCTGCCGCCCAGGTACGGGCAGCGAAGGGCTGTTGTACAACCAGCGGCCGCGCACACTTCCCATACCTTGCGGGGAGGGATTGTTTGATGCTCACACGGCCATCAGCAGCGTGAATGTACCGCGTGTGGGTCTACGGAAGGATACGGGCAGACCGACGGGTGGTTGTGGTACAATCCCCAGGCGAAGGCGCAGAGCCGGAACCCCAACGTTGGCGGTAACATGCTCCAGTTTCTCAGGCTTCGCGTACGACCGGCGCGTCGCTGGCCCCCCGCCGACGCCCCTGAACACTGAACGGGGCTGTTATACTTGTACACCTCACATCACCTGGCATTTCCTTTCCGCAGTTAACACGGCTGCCTCTGGAAAGCCCTCGTGTCGCTGATGCCTTTGGCGGTGAAGTGGATGCCCCCCATCATCCGCTGAAAGCGCAGCGCCCGGAACGCAGCGCGGAGGCTGGCGGAAGTGTGTGCCGTGGGGTGGCTGCGGCTGATGCGCGCCAATGACGAAGCGCCCCGGTTGTAGGGCTTCGAGCCGGCTCCAGGGCCTCACGCGTAACCCCACCCCCAACCCCTCACCCCGGATTTGATGCCCAACAGCCACAAGGGTGATGGGCCACAAACAAGCGGCTGATGCACAATTACCCACGAATGGTGGAACCTACCACCCAACAAATCCCCCGCTCTGTTCCGATCATGCCAGCGTGATGTGCACCCCTGTGCCGCCCACTTGTGTCCTCCATCACACCGATCTACCCGCAGCCTGACCCGCCGTCACCCCCCACGGCCAGCGGCGCACACCACACACTCCCTCATCCCCATACTAAGTCTTTACGGCCACCGTAGCGCCGCGTCTCCGCCCCTTTCCGTACGCTGATCACGCCGGTCACAGAAATCACCTCGCACCCGCCACACCGCGAGACCCCTCCGTACACACGCCCGGCGGCCTGCGTGGCACAGCCCGTCGCCATCAGGCTCACCGGAGTCACACTGGGGCGCAACGTGGGCTCTCCTCCCACACATCACTCAACCCTGCGCTGACGATCAGCAGACGCATCAGGGCATCTCCGCACCCCTGACAGACATCCCTCGCCCCCACACGGGACAGCTCGGACGCCGCTGCTGCGGGGCATCATTCATTTCAGGCCGCCCAGCCCACCGCCTGCAGGATCACTTTTCGTGCGCCGTGCCAGCGCGAGGTTGCCCCGCGGCTTCCGCCGCAGAGCGCCGTCCCGGGCCGCACCACGCGTTGCAGCCCCGGCCCACCGCGGAGCCTGCGCGCCCGCCCAGCTGCCGCACGGCACGGGAGGGCTCGACCCGGTACGTGTGAGGTGCTCGGCGCATCGTTCGCGGTTCCGCAAAGCGCGCAAAGCGGCGGGATCGCGATCGGACGGTATTTTGGTCGTATTTTGGCGATGCCGGCCCCTCGCTACGGGGCGGGTTCATCGGATGGGGCCCCAATCTGGGGCACCGTGGCGCGCCGGTCGCTCACTTTTTCTTCCGTGCCGAGTCATACGTCGGAGGGTGGGGAGAGCGGCATCCAATGCATCGGGCCACCTCGCCGGCCCGCGCGGTGGACGCGATCCTCGGCGGCGCTTGGGGCCAATCCCGGCATCCCCAACCTCCTGCCCCCGGGCGCCCTTTGGCCGAGGGGGGCCCTTGGAGGCCCCCCTCGAGTGCGCCCCCATGGCGCCGTCGGCGGGGGGGTGCTGTACTGCTTCACCACCTGTTCCCTGCTGCGATCGAGGTCTTAAGATGACTCGACCTTTCTGCGGGCCGGAACAGGCGCCCGTACCTGCAGGGGGCTGCGCCACAGACCTGCAGCCCCTCGCGTGCGGAGAACAGTCGGCCACGATTCCCCACCCCCCGTTTGACTTGCGGTGCCTCAGTGCAGGGACAGTAGTCCCGCAGCGCGCTGACGGCCGTTCCTTGGCCCACCCGGCGCCCAACAGGGCGGTCCGCCAGCACGAGGTGCGGGGGGGGGCGCCGCCCTCGTTTGTCATACAGAGTGTGACATGTCGGCGGGGTGGCCGAATGGCGGGGCATCCGTGCTGGGGGCGGGGACGCATTGGACATGGCCCAGCGCTGCGGGATCCCCGATCGGTGCAGAAAGGCCGGCGGCCGTGGCGTTTCGCCATTCGGCGGAAGGGTTGCGAGCGGGGGGGGGGGGTCGGCGAAGCGCACGACAATCTTCGCAATCGCCGATGTCGCCAGTTTTTGGTGCCTTGCTCCGATTCCGCAGCATCGACCTCTGGCGTCGTCCGACGGTGTCTGACGTTCGTGGTGCCCGTGCAGGAAGCTTGGCGTTCTCCGTCGCGGACCGCCGGGTCAAGTCGGGGGCTCCTGGAGCGGGGCGGGACCCACCCGAGGCAGGGCCTCCCGGCCCAATCGCAGTCGCGGCATGCGGCCGTGGACACCTGCCCTCCTGGCGGCGTGCATCTGCGCTGCCTGCTGCTGGGCGCCCCTCGTCGAGGGCAGGAGGTGAGCGTCCTGCCACAAACCGTCTTGCCACCTGGGAGCGCCGTCCCTGACATGGCGCCGATCGGTGGTGCCCCTCGGACGTCTCTCGGCTGTGGCAATTTCGGGGCCGGCCGAGGGGAGCGGACGGCGGCGCGGCGGTGGCGGCCGTGGCGGCCGGCCTCTTGTTCTGCGTTGTTGTTTTGGATGACGATTTGGTGTCTGGCGGATCCACGCTTGCTGTGTCGGTCGCCCGTGCCACTTTCTGTGCCATTCCTTGGAACTGAGGCTCGGCCTCACCGGAACCCTCGAGCCCCCCCTCCCCCCCCCTCCTCTCTGCGTTTGCGCATCGTTCCAGCTGCCCTCGTTGTGTGCGTCTCGGTCTGCTGCCCCATGCCTGGCCACTCGTCCGTTCTCCGTGCACGGCAGGGGGCCCCTGAGAGGGCTTCACCGTGCACCCTTGTTTCCCAGTCTATTACCCCGTTGTTATTCATACCAATCGCCTATGTCCGACTTGCGTCACGGCACCCATTGTGTGACTTGCGCTGTCCTTCGTGCCGGAAGAGACGGGCTTCGACGGACGTCGTGCGCGAAGGCCTCTGCTTGGCTGGGTCGCAATTAGGCGCGTCGATGTCGAATTAGTTGCCGAACAAGTTTGGCAGCCGTTTGCACCCAAGTAGGAGGACTGTTGGACGCTTGGCCGGAAGCATTCGCCACTGCATTTGTGAAGCAAAGGCGACGTTTGGCTGCGAGAGAGTGCCAGCTGCAATGCCAGGTCGAGTCAGTGCCGTGTAGTGCTAATCACCCCAGCTGTGAGATGCTAGGGTTTTCTGTACTGTCAGGATGATGCCTGATTACAGTGAAGAGGGCAGTGCTCACCAAACTGCACGAAAGGCAGGACACCGGGTGCAAGACTTTACCGCTATGCTGTGCCCCTTTCCAGGAACCTTCGCTTCGTGGCTGAGGAAGACGATGACGAGGAGACATTCAACTTCGACCTTCAAAGGATCAACTTCACCCTGAAGTCCAACTCGATAGAGAAATTCTGCTTCAACCACGAAGTTTCGTGTGTCAGATACGAAGTACGTGCCAGAGATGTTGATACAGGTGAACCCGCCACCATTCTGGCGCTGGTGACACCTTTCAGCGAGGCTGAGCGGGCTCAGGTGAGAGCTCTCCAACACAATGTGTGTTGGCTGCGTTGGCCAATATAGGCAAAGGGCCATTCTCCAATGTCTACCTGTCCTGTTGTTGTATGTCCTGATTTGTGCTGTGCGCTTTACCTTCGCCCCCAGAGACTCCCACGGCATCTTTCACAGCATGGAAAGAGTCTCGCAGCCAGTTTTCCTGAGGAGAGGGTGCGCTTGTGGCATATCTCTTGTTACACTCATCTCTGATTTTGTGCGCCCCCTCTTTTTGCATCTGTTGCACAAATGTTGCTTGCTCCTGTAGCAACGAATTCTCCTGCGGCGGCTGCCATATTGACAGTGACATTCCCTGCTGATTCCCATAGGAGGAGGGGGTCATCAGCACTGAGGCGATGCTGGAGGGCACATATTGTCGCGCCAGCGGTCCCTGCAGGGCGAGCGCTCGCACCAGTGATGCAGACGGGCTCTGTTTGTTGCTGGTGAATGCGAACCTCCGGTTCGAACCCAGTGGCAACCTGGACTTCACCCCCGCCCAACAGGGGGACATCCATTTGGACATCGACATTGATGGTGAGGGTGCAGGCTGCGTGCACATGTGCCTATAGACAGTACCGTTTGTGTAGAAGGGGGTTCTACTTCAACATATCGCATCACATTTAGGAGCACGGACAATGGTTATTGATGGGTCGCCGGTTGGACGACTGGCTATGAGTGGCAACCGTAGTTCCCTCATTCGTGCGGTCGCATGGCCACTGCAGATTAGGGGTGCTCAAAGTTGCAGAGTTTGATGACAGCAGCTCCCGACACTGTGCGAACTGGCAACTAGGCGCATGCATATGTCAGCGGTGTTCCGAAACCAAGCAATGAAGCATTGCAATAGGTGCACACACAGACTGCTCAGACGATCTGCGGCCTCGGCCAAGGCTATAAGGCAAGCGAACCTTCTCGGATGTGGCTGCCCCTCAGGTTTGTCCAGTGAATAGGACTCTGTGATCCATGCTCAATTGGCCTTGCAAGGGCGCTTGCTGTGTTGGTGGTTCTCCGCTATGTCATCAGCAGTGCCGCCAGATATCAAACCTCTTTCAGGACTGCTTGCAGCAGAAAATGACCGGGTGCCTTCGCAACCATCGAGCTGTGTGTGCGAAAGCGCTCGAGCCTTGTTGTTTTCATTGCATCCCGACGTCGGTGCTGTCGCAAGCCGACTTTTGACTTGACCGTTCTTGCCGTTGCACGCTGACCTGCAGACTATCCCCACGCAGAGCGTCGCCCCTCTGTTCTTGTTCGCAATTCGCCCCACCCACTCGGGCCACGCGCAACAGGCGCCCTGAAAAGCAGCCCCACGGGGGTGACGAGGCAAGGATCCCGTTGGGCCCCCGCGAAGCGCTGTCAAAACCCAACACGAATCAAGAAGCGCCAGCCAAGCTAGCGCCTCAGCGCAACGACTCGAGGCAACGTCGACAAGCGCTGCCGCCTCCGTGACGAACCGCACGCTCTCCAGCACTTTGCCTCTGGGCCCGATACCACAGTGCCGGGCAACGAGCACGCAGTTTTGTCAACAGTCACATGACAAGAGTCACAGTTTTGTCCGGCCCGCAGCGCTGACCGGATCTTGTCGCTGTTTCTCCCCAGGCTGCCCCACCACGTCGCAGAGGATTGTCGCCATAGCCGTCCCGATCGCCGTCTTCGTGGGCGTCGCGGCGTGCTTCTCCACGTGGTGGATTCGGCGCCGGCGTAAGGACCACATGACCGCCGGCCCCCCCCCGGCCCGCCTTCCGAACTCCGGCTCCACTCAGGTGGCCATGATGACTACCTACAGCGCCAACCCGCATGTCGACAGCGGCCTGCCACCCCCGCCCACGGTGACGCCTGCCAACCCGCAGTCGATGGGCAGCTACGGGCCACAGGCGGTTTATGCCCCCCAGCCCGGGTACGGATCTCAGCAACCCTATGGCGGGCATGGAGTGTACGGGCCCCAGGCGCCATACGCCGAGGGGGCCAACCCGGCGTACATTGCATCAGGCATCAGGCAGGTGAACAGCAAGGGGTACCCCGTGGTGGTCGCGAATGTATGAGTAGGGGGGGGGTTCGCCAGGGCGCGAGGTCCCTGGCAGCCGACCCCAGTAGTGGGTACTGCAGGAGTTTGAACCGTGAAATGCGAACCGCAGGTTGAGGATGCGTCATTGTAACATTGCGTTTTTGCGTGGGTTGTTGTTCTTGCGCCTTGTGCACGGGGTGGTGCCGGTTTTCTTGAATTTTTTAGTGGTGGGTGCAGAGAAGGGCGCCCAAGAGACATTAGGACGTCAGGGCAGGAGCGTTGGGCAACGTTGGCACGAAAGTGTAGAACGTGTCGAGGGATGAGGATAGTCAACGTGCGACGGCCGTCGCTGCAATTGGTGTCGCTGCCGGTGGCCAAGTTTGCGGATGGGTTCCTTTGAATCCGCTGCCATTAGAACATGGGGCTTTCTCGGACTTCAGGGGCTCTTTTGGGGGTTGCGAGGAGTGAGCACAAGGTAGCAATAAACTCATGCGTTTCTATTTATTTCCTTTCTGCATTGTAGAGATATGCGAATGGGAGTGCGGTCTGAGTGCGTGCCTTCTTCAGGTCCTGCGTCCTGCAGATCAGCAGTAGACAGATAATCTGAAAAGAAAGAGAAACGAAGCGCCGAGCACCCTTTCAGGCGAATGTGCCATTGGTGCAGCACATCAACAACACATGTGGCGGCGGAATTACCCGTCTGGGGTCTTGCCCATGCCTACGTGCAATGATGCAGAAAATCGCATAAGTCAGTGCTGCTGTGCGGGCACTGGTGGTTGCCTTGCCAAACGTCCCTGCAAGGGGGCAGCACCAGGGGCGGGTGCGGGTAAAGGTGGAACACAGCGCTGTGCATTGCCAGACACGACCACGAAGCGCCAGAGCACTGCGTTGCCCCTTCTCTGCATTCTGAAATGCTAAATCGCTGCGCTGCTGCTGTCCGATTTTCCGGAGGCCAACGTGGAAAACACACGCAGGAGAATCCATGCTGTGGGCCGTCCAGGCTCTCAAGCTGGGAACCTCACAAGCCCCGCACCTCACCTCGTGGACTCGATTTCGTGCTATTACAGGATGACGCGAGTACCCCCAGTCTATCACTGACCGATAAATTCCAGGCACGCCGTCCATCAACCGAGTCTCCCGCGTTGCGCTATCAGCAGCGGGTGAGCCCTCCTCACCTACTCTCCCTACATGCGATTTTGGGCTCCCCGCTTTTGGCCAGCGTGCCCCCTGGACCCCCCGCCCCCCACTCCCCTTATTTCGCAACGCCACTCACCACACCTCCGTCGTGGCCTCCCAGGCACAAGGTCCCCACCCACCACATCTTCGCAACCACCTCCAAACACAAGTCCTCTTCCGACTTCGCCACTCACCCGCCTTTTCTCCCAAGTGCAAGCCCGACCACCCAGTCAGGCGAGGAGGCAAATTGCGAACTTCGCCTACTCGCCCCGCGCCCTCCTACAGGCCTCGAGGGCCCTGTCGCAGTACATTCTGCACCTGAACCGCTCCCTCACTTTCATCACCTCCGCCTCCGTGACGTCCGGCCGCTTTGCAGCCGCCCCCTCCACTACCGAGTACACCGCCTCCCGCACGCCCGCCTCGCCATCGTCCATGTGGATCAGCATGCCCGCCAGCAGGTAGCCCGTGTTGGTGGAGCAGTAGTCGGGCGGCATGGTGGCCACAAAGGCGCGCAGGGGCCCGCACGCGGCCACGCGCACGCGGTTGCTGCTGTCGTCCAGGCGCTTGAGGAGCTCGGGGTACAGGGCGCGGCGGTGGGCGTCAGTGAGGAGGCCGCCTGCGCAAGGGCGAATGCTGGAAAGTTCAAAATTCTAAATTGTGAATTTACGAAAATAGAAAGAAAAGTTCCGGCACAGAGGGGCCAATGTTGGGAAAATTTATTTTTGGGAACTTGGTAAATTTGTGCAAAGTGAAAGAAAATTACCGGCATTGGGCTCGATCGATCAGCCAGCCCTGGATTCCAGGGCCTGAAATCGTAGTATCGACCGGCCAATAAGTCGATCGATCGATGACTGAGTGGTTGAAGTCGCGTTGGAATTCTGAGAAACGATGAAGATATAGAGAAAGAGCGCACGTGACCTTCGGTCCTGCAAAGTATGGATACGTCTTTCTGTTGAAATGTTAGATGTGTTTTCACTGTAGCAAAACAGCAAACAAATGAGGAGACACCTGCCTACGAAATCCCAAAAAGCCAAGCAAGGAAGAATCTACAGACTGCCCAAGAAGGCAATCGAAACAAAACAGCGAAGGAACCACTGCAAGACATCGGAGTCAATGGTGGAAAAAACGAGCAGCGTCCAAGTCACGCTGGTGCAAAAGTCGGGACCAATATTAGCTAAGGATACACGACTCGGTCTTTCCAGAATCTCCTGTACACTGCCAACACAAGATTTTCAGCAATTTGGATCACTTAAGCACAGAACCCAAACTCGTGCTGCGACAAGTAGTCTGTTTCCTTTTTTCCTGCCAGTACCATTGCGTCTACGATGATACCTGTGAGGCATGAAATTAGCCGCTCCATCTTTTACGTGAAGATCCCTCCTTGTTTCAACACCCTAAACCACTGGCCCACTGGACCCCGTTGGCCTTGTCAGCGCAAGAAGAAGGGATCTTCACGGAAAAGACAGAGATACTACAGTAGGGGTCCCTTTACAGCGCCCCCCTCAATAGCGCCCTGTTCGCGACGCCGCATAATGACCACCGTTTCACTGGGTGGATCACTTATGCTTGATGGCTTGCGACTAGTGTGCATGTCAAAACGTGAATCGCTGCTTGAGATTGAAAGAAAAAAAGACTGTGGTTGCAGAAAAATGGTGCTATGAAACTTGCAAAGGTCACTCCCACCAAGATGTTACTTTCCTTGGAGGGGCACACAGGATGTCTCTTTCCCTGGTGCAGCATTGAGCTTCTAGCCTATGCATACTCCTTTGCTTGAAGATTGGTGCATGTTTTATGAAAGTACCGAATAGCCATTTCTGTGATCGAATTTTGGTTTGGAATTTGGCTTTTGAGGTAGTTTTCGATCACACTCATGTTTGTTGAGGACAACATGAGCTTGATGAAAGAATGTCCTGTAATTCACATAGAGATGCCTTGGTCACAGTGTCTTGTCCGCAAGATGCAAGGGTGTGTTGTGGGGAAGTTTCGGATGTGTGTTTCCCGAAGCTTTACAGCATTGTGACCGCCCTCTACTTTCACTTTGGCTTGCAAGATTTGTTGTACTTGCACTTTGCAGTGGGGGCGTTTGGAAATGACCATATGCGGCATCTGAGTAGTCATAATCATGTTGTTTTGAATTCTGAGTGAAAGGGAAGCTGTGGCATGTTTCAGATGTGGGCTGCATCATAGTGAAGAGGTGGCATCGGGGTTGAATTGTCTTATGGGCATTTGTGATTATGACAATCCTTAGAGGTCGAAAATGGGACATTGTATCAGATGATGGAAATTCGCATGAACGTGGCTGATCATTTTAAGCGCACCCCAGCCTGTTGGGGGCGCAGCAACCTGTGCTGTGAACCACGCCTTGGACTCCGTGTCGCCTGACCATGTGAGCGCCGGCGCGTGGGATGGCGACCCCTCCAATCGCCTAGCTATGCCCGCTTCTCTGGCTTACTTCGAAGAGGACAGGCCCATCGTGCTATGCATGATGGTGCGATTCCTTTAACAGCCCCCTTTTTGGCTTGTCACCGTTTCTGTAGTACTTTATGCAGCTTGTTGTACAGTGGGACCTCAGACAAGTACAGGGGTCCAGTTTAGCGACCCCTGGTAGCGACCTGTCTATGTTTAGCGAACCCCTGAATGGCTCATCGCAGTTCGTGTAGAACTTTATTTCACTGCGACAGGCCCCAGCGCCCGTGACTTCGGCGCTGCGACTGTCGCTAGCACCAGAAGCCAGTATGGGCCCGGTAGGCTGGGTGTCCCGTACCCCCCCACACCGGCGGTCAAGGTACTCCCTACACCGGCAGCTAGGGAACCCCGCACAGTATCGGCTAGGGTATACCCTACACTGACGGCCGTTGTACCCACTACACCGGCGGCCAGGGTACCCTTTACACCGGCTGCTTAGGGTACTCCCCTTGACACAATAGCACCCCGGACCCCAATAGCGCCCCCCATTTGGCCATGTCACGAGAGGGGCGCTATATAAGGGCCCCACTGTCACATGTTCCCTACCTGTGATGAGGATGATGTGCTCCATGACGTAGCACGCCGTGTGCCGCACATCCGCATAGTAGTCCTCCTCCAGCGCCTGGAACACCGCCGGCAGCATGTCCCCCGCGTCCAGGCGCTCCCTGAGCGCCACCCCATCCACGAGGCGCAGGGCCAGGAAGGACGCCAAGGCGGTGATGGCGGCGAAGCGCACCGCCGTGGCCGTCTTGCCGGCGCGCCAGACCAGCGGTGGGAGCAGCAAATCCGTGAGGGTGGAGCCGGCCGCGGGGCCCCCCAGCACGGGCCCCACCGCCTCGTCCTCGATCAAGGAGGTCAGCAGGTTGAGGTAGGCCAACCTGACACCCAAGGGAGTCGTCAACACGCCTTCAGGAGAATTTGATTTCAGCCTCAGGCACATAATCAAGCTATGCATTTTCAGCTTATTTCTATTTGATCCACGTTTATTGTTATGTATAGCATGCTTGAAATTCATTTCCAAGTTCCATGCAAATTCAAGCAGCGCAGAATACGAGCAAATTGTTGAATTAGTGAATCAATGGATGTAATAGTTAGCACAGTGCTTTGCTGGTCCAATTCTCCTTGGCAGTGAAACAGTGATGTTGTCTGCCATTCACGCAGGCAACGAAGCCTGGCACAGTGCGCTCCTTAGAGTCAGCTGGGTATATTCCTTCATTGGTATTCGTTTCTTGAGTGCCTGACAAAAGTCAGGTGGCAGGACATGCCTTTCCACAAATTGCTCCAATCCATTGTGGTCCTTGATTCCCAAATACCACATCACATTCAGGAGGTGAGGTGCAAGCCCTGGCTTTAAGAAGTTCCACTGTTGTTGATGAGTCCATGGTTGCTTATGTGGCTCTACGTTGCTCCACACAGGGCGTCAGTATTATAACTGCAGTTCAGATTGCTGGATACAGCCTTTAGGCACTGATTCCATCCAAAGACTGCAGCCAAAAAGTGAAGATCCATTGGCAACCAATCGAAAGCATGATGAACATAAACTCCCTGTGCAGTGCTTCTGAGATGGCTTTTGCACATACCTCATGGACATGAAATTTCGATTCAAGATCAACTACAACAAAGAGATGAACACTCTCTGCCGAAAATTCCACTTGTGGAAACAGGACCCAGGACGAGGACATGTGGTTGATTGTGAGTTGACCAAGAATCTGACCATCACGGCACTGCTGGGTGCGTCCACAGCACCTGCAGGCGGCCAGACAGGGGTCCAGTGCTTGGACCCCGAGACACACCTCAATGCCGGATCTCTGGAATGGTCCCCCAAGACACTGTTCATGATAGGTACCACAGCAGTCATCAATGTCCTCAGGGCCTCTGGCCCACAGCAAGACAGCAAGGCACGGAACACTTGGCAGTTTGGGGAGCTCTCGGTCCAGTCGGCAGCATCCTGTGCAGGTCCCACACAAGCAGTCTGGGGTTGTTATTCGGGTGCTGCAGATGTGTACACATGCAGCAGGCACAGACATTCTCTACCCAGCAGCAGACATCATTTACCGCAAACAGTACAGATATAGTAAAAGAACAGTAAAGTTTTGGAATAATGAAGAGGCAGACAAGCAATCCCAAGTCGATGCACTTGTGCCCTGCATAAGATAACCCATTGAAGATTGTCGTTTTGGAAGGGAAGGAATCTTTGTTGCAAAGGGGGCACATATGCTTGAGCAAGAACTCCAAACAACCTCTAGAAATAGAAATGAATAGCAGTATAATCAGAGCTACATACTCTCCGAATTAATTGCATCATATGTAGCTGAGAAGAAAGATACACATTTGCCAGGTGAAAGATCATATGGATGTCTCGGAGTTCAAGAAGAGCAGCAGCCAGCAGAAAAGCAGCCACTTGGACATCAAACACAATGCCCCGGTGAAGTAACAAAGAATAGTGATTACTATTGCAACTGTATTTGAATGGCTAGACCCAATGCCGTTTTCCCTTGCTTGACCATGAGCCCTCCTGGTGGCTCAGAACCTGCCTCAGATATATAGTGCAGGATGTCCCCCGCGTGGCGGTCAACAATCTCGTGGATCTTCTCAAGGCCACAGGCAACAGCAAGCTGCAGCAGCACTGGTCGGGCTTCCCCATCCGCTCCATTGCCCATGAGCTGCAACAGGGTGCGGCACACCTCCCTGCTGACAAGGCCGGACTGGGCCCCTGAACAACATTCAGGAAGCTGTTCAAAACGACTAAAGCCAAAGCTGGCAGACCAAAAAAAAGTACATGGACCAGAGGAAAAGGTTTCATAGACATCATGTACTGGGAAGCTCCTTGAGCAACACCTGGAGATTGCTGTCAGCCCAAACAAGGGGAAGACATACTATGGGCAACCCCCTTAAGAACCTTTGAGTCTGAGTAGCTAAAGAATTTCTGCTTGAGGTCCATTTGCTCCACCAATATCCTATACCCTTCCACATGCAAGGTCATTTCTGTGATGACTGGCCAAACGATGGTCAATCCCAGAACTTTAAAGGCAGAAGGGAGCAAAGGCATCTTGAATGTTGATCCTTTCTGCATGTCGATTGAGGGTATCTACGCTCAACACAAGTGCACGTAACTCTGAAACGCTGGTTGGAATGAATATGTCTCACTTTTCACAGGGTCAGCAGGGTGATCAACTCATCCCTTGCTCTTCAGCAATTCCTTGTTCAAGGCTGCTCCTGGTAGCATGTCCATCAATAACGCAGCTGCAAGGTTTGCAAAAAACTGGAAGGCATGTAGAGTGCCTTGTACAGGACTGTATTTGCCCATGCTCAGTGGCATCAACACACTTTGCTGCTCTAACGTTCTTTCCAACTAACATGGTAAGCAAGAGGACAAAAATCCACCCTGCAATGCCAAAAAACAGCAACATCGCACAATTATTATGGCAGTGAATTTCCATCGCTGCCACAGTGGCAGCATTCCACAGCTATACAATCCCTGATGTACATGCATAAGTACGGCCGATGTGGCGATGTGGCGATGTGGCGATGCTGCTCTGCTAGACTAAACTGACATGCATTCCACATGGAGAAATGCAAAATCAAGAGCGCATAGCTAATTCTTCAATTGTTGTCGCCATCACAGAGCAATGCAGTGCATAGGCACACCTGGCCGCCACGCACCAGTCTTGTCACCCTAAAGGTTCAAATGCCCAGTTGCGTGCTGCAAAATGGGGTGTTGCATAGAAATATGATCTTGGAACATACACCGATGAACATACTCTGAATGTTACTCATTGGGCCGTTGAAAGCCTGAAAAGTACGGGAGGTTTGTTTGTGATGACTTTTTTATAACTGGAATTTTAAGCACTTCTGCAAGCGGAAGGCGCAAATAACCTGGTATGCCTGCCCATCATTGCCTTGTGGGTTCCTGCCATACAATGACGAATAGAAGCGAGGGCTGTCAGCCCAGCCCACCTGCCAGTCGCAGCATGTTGGCGACCACGCAAGTTAGCTGGTGCTTGACAGCAGGGCTCCCACACAGCTGCACCTCCCTCCAGCCCAGCCCAACCGCCAGCTTCTTCAGCAGGTCATCGCTGATGCTGTGCTGCAGGGTGCCGGCAGAATAGAGCAGACTGGACAGGACCACAAGGGTGGATGCCAGATGAGCGGCGCTGGTGCGGGACGCCGACAGCTGGTCCAGCATGAGGGGCATCCAGCTGGCCACTGGCACATGGGCCCCCAGAAGATGGACACAAGACACTAGACGCCCTGAGGAAACAAGAAGAGTCCCATGTCAAGATGACACTTCTTGCCTCTAAAGGCAAAGGTCCACTCGCTCAGTTGAGATCGCTGTTATGTACCATTGCCTGTGTGCAGACAATGCCATTTTACTTCCTGTTCATTTACACGAGTACTGCTTTGAACAATGATCATTTTTCCTTTTTAAGCAAGCGATGAATTCATCGTTCTTATGGCAACTCAGATGATAACAATTCCCAAGACAGGGTGTTCAGTGGAATAACTTTTGGTTTGTTAACCCTTCCGCATGGGAATATTTTACTGTTACGCCTTTTGCTCTGCATTTTATTTTTCAGAGCGTTCCTTTTACTATTTCACGTTGCTCTGCATCAATTCTGCTAGAAGAGCGTTAGCTATTTTATTTTTTTCTCTGCCAAAAAAGGCCAAGCATTATGTTGCTATGCGGAAGGTTTAAGACCATCAATAACTGAACTGACCAGGAAATATTTAACACTCTGCGTCCAACATCGAAAGACAACTCACGCATCGCATGACTTGTCCATCAGCGCAATCTCCTGGGCTTCACGCTGCCATGCGCTTTCTTGTCAGGCAGGAAAAGGCCAAACTACTTCTGTCTGAGCAGGAACAGCACCTGGATTCTCAACTGTGATGCAATACTCTGGATGCAATGTTGTGGAATAAATACGCACAGCCACTCCAGCACAGCACTGCATATTGTCTTGTGATTAAAAGAAGCAGCCATGCAAGGACACGCAGAGATATTTTTCGAACCCGCGATCTTGGCGTCCTCGTCCCCCACCGCTGTGCAGATGGCTGGCAGCAAAGTGTCCAAATGCTTTTCAATACCAGCCCCCGACAGTGCCACCAGTGTGTGCAGTCCCCTGGCGTTGGCCAGCCGATTGGTGACGGTCCACTCTTTAAGGGACTGCAGCATTGAGGGCAGGATGTCTGGAAGCAAGTGCCAAACCAGCCGCTGCGTCTGGGCTGAAGGCAGAGCCTGCAGTGCAGTGCTGACTGATTGAGCTGCTGCTTCAATGCAGTTTACAGAAAGTGCAGGAGGTTGATGAAACAGTGTCGATTGATCAAACTGTAGCTTCGAGCCTATCCATAGGAAGTGCAAAAGGTTGCAACTGCAGTGCTGATTGACAGAAGGTTTTCTGTCTTTGATTCCATTCTTACACAAACAACAGGAGAATGCAAGAACAACATTGATTGACCGCGCCACTGCCTTCATCCCATCCAGGCGAAGAAGTAGTAGCGATGAGCGGTGGAGCGGCATTTACACATTTGGCTTCTGATTGGGTGGCATTCAACTGAAATACAACAGACCACTGGAGCAGTGTGATTCTTGTCGAATTTACAATTTCATGACATTCATGAAGAAAAGGAAGCAAAATACGATTTGCTGCCATCAAAGACAACAAAGACGACAGTGCAATAGAGCATACACATGTGGAGAGCAGTGGGTAACCACTGGCCGTCTCGATGTCATTATCAGGGTTCCAAGGTTGCCACACAGCTACCTTGAAATGATCCACTGTCAGACGCACCAGAAAGATGCAGATTGTGAATAGTGGAGCAGACTGTCACGTTCCAATCACACTTCAACATTACTTTCCACAAGATGTTCAAAATTAGGCTTTTACACACCACAGAGTGTGTTTCTCCTGAAGGACCTAAAATGTTGCACATCCCTGGCTCCTACCGTGTAGGGTTTCCCCAGTAGCAGCAACAGCTCCTTTGCATACTGCTCGGTCGTTTCCGCATGTGCTGACGTGCCTGGTGCAGGTGATGCTGAGTCCACTTCCATAGCATCTTGTCTCCCAGTCTGCACACTTGATGTACATGTCTATCAATGCTACATTCTGACAATAGATGCTACATTTTGGTGACTCCCTTGCTTCCAGTCAGCAGCCACCTCTGTCTATGAAACTTGCTTTAGATGGACATCCCTTCTCTATTCTTGTTACTGAACTACACTGCCGAAAGGCGGCACAGGCTGTTGACATCAAGTTCATGCTGCTGGGAGCAGAGTGGGGCTTAGTGAACGCCATGTAATTAAGGAAATAATAACAATAATAACAATAATACATGTCTATCAACAACCCGCCAATCTCATGCCAGCAACCACCAGATCATGAAGGCGATGCCACAGGAAGTGTTATGCTTCTGCCCCATTCTGTGTCCATGAATGATTTCCCTACTACAATTCTGTGTTCTTGAACAATGACCACCACATTGCACTGCACAACAGCCGCACAGAAACCCCAGACATGGTCAGTCAGAATCCCTCCACAGGACTGCCGGCCCTCCCATCTGCACGGTCCCAATGTGTCAGTTCTCTGGCCTCGTTGCCACCACATCTGTCAACAACATGTCGCTCCCCCATTGATACGTGGATGCTATCACAGGCAGAGAAAACATGTACCAATTTGCCAGGAGACTGCCCCTGCAACAGCACCATTTTCTCAACAGATTTTTTTCTATAAAATGTGCCTGGCATTGCCCAAGAGCACAAGGACAGTGATAATTGTATTGACTATATACCACATCGATGATAAACAATGTAATCACCACCACCACCTGTGCTTGAAAGAACTACATCGCCACAGCAGGTGCATTACCCGAGATGTCTCTTCACTATCAGCCTGGTTGCAGTACGCCACTCCTGCCGAATCGATGAGAGCCAACGTCTGTGCTGCCAGATCTTGATCTTCATCCGTAGCCCCCAAGACAAGCAGGGGGAGTAGGCTGGCACCATAGGCGTCCACACATTCTGCTTCCTGTACACCCTCCCTGCAGCAAATAGGACACAGTAGATTGGTCATATCCTGTAGCAAAAAGCTTGGCACCACACATCCACTGAGCCAGTCAGCCACAGGCAAGACAAAATTGGTGCCAATATGCTGAGGCCCTCTCACTGGGGAAAAAACACACCAGCTCACAACTGCCTGGACTTGGTTTTCCCAGCATGCTCAAGGACAGGACTACCTCACATCTGGTTAAGGTAGTACAGAGTGATTCAGCCCCTGTGCCCATCGTCCTCTGGCTGTGCAGCGCGTTCAGCGCTGCTGAAAGGGAATTGGCCCGTCAAAACACTGACACCCACGAACTGACACACTGCAAACACACTGCAAGGCACACACACACACACACACCACAGATGCAGAGCCTGAACAACAACTGTAGAAAACAAGTGGCCTAAATGGATGGCAGTGGTCTCACCCACCTGTCTGCCCCCAACCACCCCGCGATCATCTCAAAACATGACTGTCTCACACCAAGCACCTTATCCAGCGCCTGGGGCTGCAGGGCTGGTGCGACCTTTTGCGAAACCATCCCAGCAGGCAGGCCCCTGACCACAAGCGCATCCAGCGCCTGCAAGCAGGCTGTCCGCACCCGAGAATGCTGGTGGCTGAGGCCAGCCAGCACTGCCTGGACCAGGGCCTCGCTGTGTTCTGCCAGCTGTGTCGCTGTGACAACGGCGCATAGGCGGATCACGGCTGTGCACCCTGCCTTCTTGACCTCGTGGAACTGGTCTTGGAGGGCACGGCAGATCAGCAGGGTGACCTCCGTCAGGTAACCTAAAGGGGGGCAGCAGGGTGTGTGAGTATGGTGTTTCTGTGAAACGAAATTCAGCCCTGCAAAAGAGAGCAGAAGACAGTGAGCAAGCCTCTAAGTACAACAGGGTGTGCCATCTTTGTTATCTGTTCATCAGATAACAAGGAGGCTCAAGCCTATGTTGCATTTCTTATGAATGGGTCCAGACATTGGACTTCACTGAGACACATGCGCTTGCTGTGGGGAATTAAACTTAATAGCAGTGTGCCTATGTCCTGCTGCAGAATTTCGAACGACTCATTCCGAAAATGGTGCCAGTGATGCAAGATGCAACGTGCGAACTGGGTTTCCATCCTGGTTTCAAGAACACCTTATGTGAGACTGTTTCCAGATCTTACAGTGCAAGCACTAAGGTGTGTCAGAGCTTGCCCACAAACTCTCTACAGATTCACAATCAGCACAAATACAGGATAAACCAACCGTCCCAAATGTGTTTCACTGAAAATGTCTGCCTTCTCAACAATTAACCTCAAAATGATCTTGAAGTGGCAACAATTTTCAGCAGACAGAACATCACCTGTCAATGGCTTGCAAGCCCATCACCTCGCAATGGAGTCAATGTCAAATTCTTCTAAAGGCAAGGGTTCACATGACCATTTTGGAAACACAAATTCAGATGCATGCACTGTGGCTCACCACTCTGCAGGTTCCCTGGGGTGTTCGACTGGTACATGCCAAAGAATGCAGCAAAGGCAAGTGCAGCGCGTCTTTCACCTGCCAAGGACTCTCCACCACGCTCCATTACGGGTCCCCCAACCAGGTGGACCAGTGCCAGGCGCACCTCTTCAGAGGACTCCAGCACAGGGGGGTACCCCATCCGTCTTGCAACTGCAGGCATCAGTGCCGGCAGCAGAGGGGCGATGTCCACCATTCGGCTGGCACCCACTGTTAGGAGGTGCAGGGCACGCTCGCGGCACTTCTCCACTGGATCACTGAGCATAGCAATGAGCGGGTGGAGGAGGGGGCCACACAGCAGGGCCTGTGGAACACAGATCGGGCTGCAGACAGGTCAGGGATGTCAATTTGTTCATTGTGTTGAGGCAAAATGAATGAGCACATGCCATTCACCATTTACCATCCACCCATTCACCATGCACCATCATGGCGAGTTGCAGGCAACTTGGTGTGTTTTAGTCATCTTGTGATGCATCGAATTGCCAAGGAACCAGACGTGTAGGCAGTGGGTTGAATTCTCGGTGTGGCAACTCTGATCACCTGTACTCGCTCACTGCCAGTGTAGACCATTCTACACGCTGTATTGTTTAGACCGCTCTACCACAGTGTTTGAACATTTGTTTGTGCAACTTGAGTGTTGCAATGCAATGCGTGTTGCACCACTGCTGAAGTTAACTGACCTAAAACCCATGTCCATATCTGAGCATCACCAATCATTGGATCCACATGTATTGTTCAAACCATGCTCTGTCTGCTCATCCCTGACTGCACAGCTGCAATGTCCCAAATCCACCTGAAAGCTGTACACATCGATGCACATTTTTTCTCTTCTTGCAGTTTAAAAGCGTCGCTTGCTGTCCCAAAAATCTCAGAGACATTTCTGTCAAGCTCTCATCTCACTATTGTAGTTGGGAAACAACTACCAGTCATTGCCCACTATATGGATGCCCATCAAATAGTCTGATTCTTTTATTCAAGAATAATTCAATAATCGTGGGCTTCTGGCTCCAGCATGACTTTTCCACCCAAGAGATAAGAATTGAGGAGGAATCTTTGTAGCATATGTGATAGATTGCAGAAGGGACTGGTCATCGCCCCGAAGTTGCAAGTTCGACACTTCGTTGTTCTTGGCTAATGTGCTGAGTGCAAATTCCACACGAGTCCCTTTGCTAAGGTTCTGGATCCAGTCCTCAGGGAATCCACAACTCCCATTCCAGTCTTCTCCAAATTGTAACAAACGACCCCCAAAATCACTTCTGTTTGGAACAAATTGAGCCAGAGAATGAGCCACATTTCCTTGGAGACACAGATGGCGTGGGAGTCATCACCCAATTCCACTGGAACACCAAAACACCAACTTCCGCACCACAAATCACAGCATGTTGCAAGTTGTGTTGGCATGTTGGCATTTTGTGTTCGGATGCAAGGGCTGCATCAGCCCAACCTTCACAGCAGGTTACAGAACTGAATTCCTTTCCCCGGTATGTGACCTCCTATACATGAAATGTCCGAACGTAAGAATAATTGAAGTGACCATTCCTGTTCCTTACAGGCAGCAATTAACTGTACGACATGTTTCCCTTCCCACGAACTCGGATGACGTGAGGCTTATACTTTTTGTTGATGAGCGTTGTGAGCATTGTGCCCTTTGGACCCACAGCAAACTGAGGCTGTCTGCCCACCCGCAGAGACACATCCCATGACTAATGCATCCCTTCACACGTTCGCCTGAAAGGAAACATCAACTCCCACCTCCGCAAAAGGCAACAGCCACGTCCAGTGCCTCACCGCTTCGCCCCCCTCCTTTCTTCCAAACAGCCAATCCCCACCAGCACCACCCCGTCGCACCGAATGCACGCCTTTTCGCCAAACCCACAGCCCTCACCTGCAGCAGCTCGGGCGCCGCAGGCGGCCCTCCACCACCCTCCCCCGCCAGCACGCCCGCCAGCTCGTCGATCGCCCTGCGCCGTGTGGCCCTGTCTGGGTCCGACAGGCAGTTGATGTTCCTCTGTAAGGCCGCCACTGCACACGCCACGTCCCCCGCGCCGGTCCCCACCACGTTGATCGACCGACGCTCCACCGAACCGGCACTGCAAGCGTCCGCCTGGGCATCCCATCCCCCCGGTGGTCCGGTTCCCTTGCCGGCAGGCGGGGCAGAGTTTTGGGATGATTGGTTATTTCGATCGCGTCGCTTGGCGTCGGGGCGCCTGGGCGCGGCGCTGGACTTGAGCTGGCGCCACACGTCCTCCACGGACTTTTTTTGCGCCATGGGGGCGGGCGGCCGTCACGCGGCGACGGCCATGCCACGAGCGGCGCGCTGGCAAACAGGGGAGGGGGCGAAGACAGGAAAGGCCGGGGGAAGGTGGTGGGCTGGGGGATTTGAGCTGGAGAGGGATTGGGGTGCGGGTTGGGGCGACCGAAAATGCTTTGGCCCACCCAGCCACCGCGACCCAAAATGCGGCGTAGTCAGGATACTGTTGGGAGGAAGGGTACTCAAGGGGCTACCCACTTCCTTGCCCCTGACCGGGTTGTTTGGCAGTGGGACATCCCGTCAAAGAGACCCGGTTCGATCCCTGGTCAGACGTCCTCTTTACCATCCGCACTTCAGCAGATACTACAAGGCAGCAATGCGGTGCGTCAGGTCATTTGATACAAGATTGCCGAGTTGGGTCGAGGCAACAGTTCGTCTTGGTGGCAGCTTAAGCTGCAGAGACTTCCGAGAGATTGTACAGACGGACGACTCCAAATTCGGCATTGTATCCCCTGCATCCGATGGTTGCATCCAATGGTTACAGTGCCATGACAGCGACTGTGTCAGGCTTGCACGAATGGACGATGGCATAGCGCACCAGCTGGCTTGGCAAGATGCATGGCTTGAAATCAGTAACTGTGCAGATTTGCGTTCAGCTTTCACACAGAGCTTCGGAATCGGTCCAAAACTTTGTGGCTTTTGCGTTGAGGCCGTTTGTGTTCTTGTTATCGACCACTGAGCCAATTGCGTCCCATAGCTACCCGTCTTATGAAAGAGACCCAAAGTAGCACCTGTGGAGGTGCTATCTGCCATCCAAAATATGAAGACGGGAAGAAGAAGAACATATGTTGAAGAAACGAAGAAAAATTTGTAAGATCGTCGAAATGAGTCCGGAAATATGTCGATCTGTTGAATCAGCAAGATGAGATTTTTTGCGTATTACACCCGTTCGTTTGAAAACACATGATCAGAACAGTGTGGTACAACCAAGTGCTTCTGTTTAAAATGCAGTCAATGGCAAAATTTAGATACGCGTATTTCAAGTCGACTGTCAGGAATGTTTTCCCTAGAGCCATATAATCTGGCGAGATAAAGCCTGCGAAAAATGCAACTTCTACACCGCAAAACCTACAGAGCTGGGCGCGCTGTGGATGCAGCGAGTAGTGAGTGGCAATGCTAACGTTAAAGTGGCAGCGAAGTCCGCAGATATCACAGCCAATTGCAGTTCATGCTTGTATTGTGGCGTCGTTGTGACGATTAGCGATGAACACCGTAGTTCTCCGCCTTGCCAGCATCAATGGATCCGGGGTTATTGTGTGCTACCCAAACGCGCCACACGGTGAGGTAGAGGAGATGGCGTGCTCACGTGAATTGCGCCATGGGTTGGTTGGACACAGGTGCGGATTGATTGACTTTGCATGTCGTTGAGTTTGTTATTGTGAAAAGTTTCCCACATATTTAGACGTAGTTTTTTTAAGTCCAAACAGAACTACAGAATAGTACACGTATCATCATGTATTCGAATTCTTAGCCAGACGCATCTGCTCCCAGCCTGGTTCTATCGATCAGAATGAGGTGTTCCAAGCATTTTCAATGACTGTGAGCTAGCAATGGCTGGAGGCGTCTTGACTCGCATATCATCGAAAGTAAATGACTTGATTCCATCGAAAGCCACACTTGCGCCTTGGTGTTGAGGGTAAACTTGCGGTTGAACATTGTGGATCGCAATCCATCTAGCCATCTTTCTGACATTATTCTAGCTCTTGTTCGCTTGAACCCGTTCCCTTTGCATCAAAAAAAGCATGTATGGGCGTATGCATGTATGCATGTACATATGCATGCATACACGCATCCACGTATGCATGTATGTGTGCATGCACAAATGCACGCACAAACAATGCATGCTTGGCATTTGAATGTCGAATGCCTCACTTACTTTAACACTTAGACAAATGTTTTGCAACAAAAGCTGCATTTCCGGCGCCCACACCACTACCATCGAAATCTAGACCCTTGCCAGCCTCGCCACTCTGCACGGTTATCCATAATGGATGCAGATGTTGCAACTGCCGGTTTCAACATGGTTTGAATGGACTATCCACCACCTGCTTGAACTCGATTATTTTGCAATTCAAAAAGACTGCAAGTATCTCAACCAACACTCTTCTTCCAAGATGAGTCGCAGAAAGACGCGGACCCACCCATAGCCTTGAGTACCCCATAGGGGTTTCCCCCCAGAATTCGTTGCAATGTTCATGGCTTCGGTAAAGATGCAAGGGAATTCCTGAAGTGGACAAGATGCCTGGTCGCTGCAAATACTCTGTAATGTGCATCCTATGATATTTAAGTTCGGACATGAGGCTATCCACACGAATCCTGTCGTTCAAATTGAAATGTTCGAGAGAGAAGCAGCGACATACACGCGACCAAACAGAAATTTTGGGAGTACAATTCCCCGCGGAATTGCACCCATCGAGGGGCCCTTGCATAGCTCAAGCGAGTGAGCTCATTAACGAGGCGAATATTCGCTTGACCCCGCAAGGGCCGCTGCATGCTTTTCTCGGACAAACGCGATCAATGTGGATTCCTCTCTGGGTTGCTCTCCCAACAATCGCACCTAAACCTACGCTCGCACCCCCTTAGGACCCCGTAAACGCAGCCGACAAGGCGGACATGCACAAGGCAGCCCCAGATCTCTGGGACGGCAGCAGCACTTCCCCTACCGACCCACCTGCCTGCACCCCCCTATAGCAGTGCGCGGCGCAACAGACCCAGGCCAACAGCGCCAGCCGCCTACCGGAGCCGCACCAGCAGGGATCGCCTCGCGACATGCAGCCCGCCACGGGCCGGCGGCCGACCGTGGCGCCCGGCTGCGTCGGCCGACCGACATGCCCGGCGGCCAGGCTGCCGGCGGTCCGGCGGGCGCGCTTCGGGCCCTCGAGGCCGGGGCTGGGCGTGCCGTTGCTCGAGAGGGTGGCGCGCGCGGAGAGGGCTGACAACCCGGAGTCCTGGGGCGAGGATTTGAACCCGTTCAAGCGGAAGGACAAGGGCAAGGAGGTGGGTGGGTGGGTGGTGCGGGAGGGGTGGGGTGGGGGGCGGGGGCACGAGGGGATTGATCCGGATGGCGGGGCCCTGGCAAGTGTGGTTTCCTGGTTTCGATGTCGTTGATAAGGTGTTTGATTAGCGTGTTCTCTGCGCGCCTTGTTCATGGTTTGGTTTTGGGAACGGGTACCCCGTTGTACCGGGCCAAAGCGTACACGATGCGGGCGACCCGGACGAAAAGAGCTGATCAAAGCGGTCTTCATCGACAGGTATCGTCAAATTCAACAACGTGTGTTTCTTTTGCAAATGCGATGAGTGGTTCATGCTCTCGTCGTTGAGCTTGCCGTCGGCATGCCTTTTGTTTGATTACTCGTGCCTGTGCAAGGTCCCCGCTTCATCTTTCAAAGGCAAATTGCAACGTAAATTGAAAGGTATTTTGATCATCAGGTCAAGGGGGGCGTATCATTCATAGATACAAGGGCATCGTTTTACCCTTGGGGCAAAGGCAGTCAAAATGTGAATGAACGCATCAATGGCATGCAACGTGAAGACTGGCCCTAGATGATCAGAGAGGTTCAGTGTGCAGGCGTTTCGCCTGAATCTTGCAGTGCCAATCAGGCGACCACCCCAAACCCAATGTCATCAGAGCACACAAGAGCGCACAAAGCACAGAGGAGGTAGTCAAAGTCGGCTTTGGGTTGAGCTTCCATCCTGTTGCCCTCCTGGCACATCTTAGCGTGCTTTCCCTCGATCATCAGACACATGCCACTCCTATGGCTGTTGAGAAACTTCCCTCGCCTTCCTTGCAGGATGCAGCCAAAAAGGCTCTTGAGGAGGCATTCCAAGGAAAGAGGGACATCTTGGCCGACCTGGACACAGAGATGGGTTCAGGGGGCGCTGATGGTCCAGGCAGTAGAGGGGGAGGTGGCGGCGGTGGTGGTGGCAACTGGTTTGAAGATTTCTTTCAGGGAGGGGGCTGGCGGGACACCCTTGGCAACTGGGGAAGGTTGTTCATGAAATGGGTCTCTTCGGCCATGAAGACACTGGGAGCCATCTTCCTTTTCTTGGGAGTGGTAAGCCTTTCTCTCTGGTTGTGTAGTAGTTGGCCTTGTGTTGTCCTTTCATGTGCAGTCGAAACCTTTCCCTTCTTGTTTACCAGCTTGCTTTAAGTTGTTGTGGGTGCTGAGGTGAATGCTCAGCGTGGATGGGACTTTGCATTGAATTTTATTTCATGCCCAGGTGCAGGACTTGCTTTGATCATATATGTATTCCTTCATTCTTCTTTGCTAATGTGGTGCACCTGTGTTTGTTGCAGCCAGTGCTCACATTTGCCGGGGCTTGTAGTGCAAAGTAGAATGTCATGCAATTGGCATTCTTCTTTTGGAGAAGGTTGTTGGCCTCTGTTCCACTTGGTATGAGATGCTGCAAGAGTATTAGAGTACCCATGGAAAAGTGTGTGATGATTGAGGGCACGAAGAGCAAGTAACAAGCAAAGATTATTAACATGGATAGTGAGAAAAACTATACCTGATGGAGCATTTGAGGACTGTGGAAACCTGAATGGATCGGCATACAAGTTGTGTTTTGCATTAGCCCAGGCAACGATTTTGTATCAAGAGTGAACACTTGTTGCTAAACACAGCACAGGCACATATCCTAGCATTTGATAGACTTGCTAAGAAAACTCTTATTACAAAGGTGCAAGAGCAAGATAATGTGCAAATGAATGCTGTCCAAGGTTGGGTTTTGGGGATTTAGGAGCCCTTGTTCAGCGGTAGTGACGACTCGTTGGTGGTGTGTCTCTAAAATGTGTCAGAGTCTGCTTTGCAATGACTGGTAATCTGGTGAATGAAATAGACATTTATGGATTGTCGAATTTGGCAAGTTACAGCTTTGTGTAAGTTGGTTTATTACACAGTAGGGCTGGGGTTTGCAACATGAACTCTCAATTGGATGAAATTTAGAATGAGATAAGACTTGCCCTCATTTGCATGGAAGTGTGGACTGAACTGCTGCTGTGTGTCTGCACATTTGCAGTCAACCTGCTGCCAGCAATTAGCCAACACTCCCTGCCTCTGATGCTTGAGCATTTGCATCCTGACCTTTGAAATCGAAGCATCGTTAAGCAGAGTCTTGAGTGAAATTTTCGTTTAAGCGCACAGACAAACGAAGCAGCAAGTAACCCAAACTATGGGACTGTGCGAGCGGCCTGCAACCTGACAAGTTGTGTTGGCTGTGCTTTGCAGCTTCTACTGCTGAATGTGATCGGACCATTGTCAAGGATGGCCCTCAAGTTTATTCGCGTTTTACTCAGGTATGCCCCCAATATTGTTTTTTGGGACAGCAGTCCGGTGGCAGTGTCACACTATGACAAGGCACCCCTCACTATTGCAGCATCTTGTGGATCTTGCAGCAATGACTGTGTATTGTCCTGCTGCATAGTAGAACACTTTTGTTGCAGAGCACTATTGCCAATTA